AAGAGACACACAACAACCACAAAGAGACACAAAACAACCACAAAGATGCCCCAAAAAAACCCAAAGAGACACAAAAGAACTACAAAGAGACACAAAACGACCACAAACAGACACAAAATGACAACAAAGAGACACACAACAACCACAAAGAGACACAAATAGACCCAAAAGAATCCAAAGAGACTCAAAGAGACACACAACAGACACAAGGAGACACACAAGAACTACAAAGACACACAAAACAACCACGGAAAGACACAAAACAGCCACAAAGAGACACAATACGACAACAAAGAGACACAAAACAACCACAAAGAGACAAAGAGACAACCACAAAAGAGACACAAAACAGCCGCAGAGAGACACACAAAAAGACACACAACCACCACAAAGACACACACAAAGAGATTGTGTGTCCTCCTGCCTGCAGGTGGAGGACCAAGCAGAACCTGGACTACTGCTTCCTGATGATGTACGCCCAGTCCAAAGGCAGCTACTACGTCCAGGTGAGGGTTCCTGCTGGACCAGGAACCAGAACCAGGAACCAGAACCAGTCTGTTCCTGGACTAGGAACCAGGAACCACAACCAGCCGGTTCCTGGACCAGGAACCACAAACAGCCGGTTTCTGGACCAGGAACCACAATCAGGAACCAGAAACCACAAACCAGTCTGTTCCTGGACCAGGGACCAGGAATCACAACCAGGCGGTTCCTGGACCAGGAACCACAACCAGCAGGTTCCTGGACTAGGAACCAGAAACCACAACCGGTCTGTTCCTGGGCCAGGAACCAGGAACCACAACCAGCCGGTTCCTGGACCAGGAACCACAACCAGCAGGTTCCTGGACCAGGAACCACAACCAGCAGGTTCCTGGACCAGGAACCACAACCAGCAGGTTCCTGGACCAAGAACCACAATCAGGAACTGGAAACAACAACCAGCTGGTTCCTAGTACCTGCTCCAGGAACCAACCGGTTCCTTGTTCCTGGAGCAGCTCTGCTGGTTCCTGGTTCCTGGACCAGGAACCAGGAACCAGCTTCATCCCGGAAAAGATTCAGATTTCTGCTCGCATGCCTTTTTTCCATGTTCTCCGAGGCTTTAGGAGCTTCAAAGACTCAAAACTTAACCAGAAAACATCAACAATAAATAATGAACAGACAGATGCACAAATACAAACACACAACAAATTACTGTAAATAGACAACCAGCCGGTTCCATGGATCTGTTCCAGGAACAAGGAACCAGTTGGTTCCTGGTTACTGCTCCAGGAACCAGGAACAACATCAACATAAACAAAAGCTTCAAATGGACACCGACTGACAACAGAGATGCAAAGAGACACAAAATAGACAAATGTTTACTACAGATAAACAGCTACAAAGAGACAAAGTTCGGCTGTAAATAGACAGATTCTTACTGGGGGCTCCAGCCAGTGAGTGAGTCTGTCTCTGGTGGTGCGTTCAGGTGCATGAATGAATGATGAATAAATGAATGAATGAATGAATGAATGAATGAATGAAAGAATCTTTATTGTCATTGTCACAAGAAACAACGAAATATAAAAAAGTGCCATCAATCAGTGCTTATGCCCACAATTTACACACAATCTAAGAAATAAAAACTGATAAAAAAAACAACTAATAAATAAGAATAGCACATTCTCACACACTTCATCCATGATGATTAACGGTTATTTTGGTTGCATTTAGTTGCAACCAAAACTAGGTCTCTACTCGGGTAAAAACTGTCTCTAAGGCGGTTGGTTCTTAGAACCAGTACTTAAAAAACAACTTAGAAACCAGTTGTGTGTCCCTCAGCTGGAGGACGACATCGTGGCCCGTCCAAACTACTTCACCACCATGAAGAACTTTGCTCTGCAGCAGCCGTCCGAGGAGTGGATGATCCTGGAGTTCTCTCAGCTCGGCTTCATCGGTGAGACACACGTCTGGAGAGACACACAACTACCAGGAACAGACACACAACAACCAGGAAGAGACACAAAGAGACACAAAACAGACACAGAGAGACACAAAACAACCACAAAGAGACACAAAACTACCACAAAGAGACACAAAAGACCACAAAGGGACACAAAAGACCGAAAAGAGACACAAAACAACCACAAAGAGACACAAAAAAGACACAAAGAGACACAAAACAACAACAAGGACAGAAAACAGACACAAAGAGACAAAAAACAGCCACAAAGACAAAACAACCAAAAAGAGACACAAAACAACCACAAAGAGACACAAAACAGACACAAAGAGATACAAAACAACCACGAAGAGACACAAAACAGACACAAAGACAGAAAAACAGCCACAAAGAGAGACAAACAGCCACAAAGAGACACAAAACAGACACAAAAAGACACAAAGCAACCACAAAGAGACACAAAAGACCATTAAGAGAAACAAAGAGACACAAAACTACCACAAAGAGACACAAAAGACCACAAAGAGACACAAATCAGAACAAAGGATATATAGATAGATAGATTTTGACTGTATTTTTTATTTAAATTACTCATTTTTTTGCATTTTATGGAACTTTTCACACAGATGACTTCATTATGCAAATGAGAAATCAATAAATCTGACTTAAATCACATTTTAATCCTCATTTCTTGTAGATTTTTTGGCTTCTTCTGGTTCCTTTTCCCGTCACAGATCAGAAAAGCCTAAAAATGAGCTTCTGTTTTCAGTCTGGAAGCGGAAATTGGTGCAGTTTGAAGCTCAGAGGTTCAGAAACGACTCATTTCTCTGTGCAGGTAAAATGTTCAAGTCTCTGGATCTGTCGCTCATCGTGGAGTTCATGCTGATGTTCTACAAAGACAAGCCCATCGACTGGCTTCTGGACCACATCATGTGGGTCAAAGTGTGCAACCCGGAGAAGGATGCAGTGAGTCCCCTCCTACCTGCAACAGAAAGATAGGCCCAAATACAATCCAAACACTAGCTAACATCAGAATATAACCCAAACATTAGCTAACATCAGAGTACAACCCAAACTTTAGCTAACATCAGACTAGAACCTAAACATTAGCCAAGATCAGACTAGAACCTAAACATTAGCTAACATCAGAATAGAACCCAAAATTTAGCTAACATCAGAGTACAACCTAAATGTTAGCTAACATCAGAATACAACCCAAGCTTTAGCTAACATCAGAATTTAACACAAACATTAGCTAACATCAGAATACAACCTAAACACTAGCTAACATCAGAATAGAACCCAAAAATTGGCTAACATCAGAACCCAAACAATAGCTAACATCAGAGTACAACCCAAACATTAGCTAACATCAGAATACAACCCAAACGTTAGCTAACATCAGAATACAACCCAAACCTTAGCTAGCTTCAAAATACAACCCAAATATTAGGTAATTTATGTAAAATCTAATCACTAGCTAGCATTACATTGTTCCCCCTAGCTTGGGTTTATCTATTGTAGCATGTTAACACACATTTATTATTTACCCTGAGGGCAATCTTTTTTATTAATTTCTCATAATGTACATGCTAACCAGAATGTAGAATGTATTAGCTTTTAGCTTGCGTCTTTGGGGCTGCTCTTAAGCATAA